GGACAACAACGCTGAAGACACAATTAAGCATTCAGTAATGCAATGCTTCGGAGATAAACTACTTTTACACTCACATTGCACTGTAAGAGTCGAAGGAAATGACTCAGAGGTCTGCAAACTGTTATTAGCGACACATCTGTACTGTCCTGCATCCGATTTTTGAACATCTGTTATTTTCAAAGTGTGATTTCCGTTCTTGGAAGAGACGCTCAATCGTAAATTTGCTATTGAATTCAATTCGACATCATTCTTTGTCCAAGCAACAGCAGGCGTAGGGTATCCAGCCACCAAGCAACTTAATACAACAGTTTGTCCTTCTATTTTCGTGGTATCAATTGGAGGTTCGGTGATTTCAGGCCCAACTGATATATTAAGAAAAAACATAAAAAAAAATGAATAAACACACATTAGAATTGCAATTCGAAGCAATATCAAACGTATTTCACAAAATATTGCACCACTTCCTTCTTCAAATGAAGGACTGTGTCCTTTAATAACCATGTAGCTGTGATGTGAATAAAAGCTAAGCGACCAAACAAGTCAACCTTTTTACTTCAACACTCAAAATATCAACGCCTATATAAACACGTCTGCAATCATCAACAACAGTGATTGAATTGTTCTCAACAAACAAAACAACAAATAGTCTACAATTCTGCTTTTCAAGGATTATTTCCTTCCGATAATGTAACACCCTTGCCATTTTCTAAGCTTAAGCCGGCGGTTGCAAAAAATTGGGCGTAAAGAAGACTCGAATCCATAACCCTGAAATGGATGTACAGCACCACAACTTCTGGGAAACTAGGCATCATGCAAAATGAGAGTAAATGATCGTCATGAAAATCAACTGCTTGTTCGATTTGGGAGAACTCTGCTGTGCGACAATAGAGTGATAGTTAAGAAAGATTTTCAAAACAGGTCAACTACCCTTGAAGGTTAAATATATACACGCTTCTCAGGCCAAACATATCTTTTCAGTAAATTGACATTTCGCAACCGCTCGTAAACCACACTTGTACTCACATTGAACATTTACTTTGGCAGCATTGGAGGTAGCACTTCCAATCTCGTTGCTTGCCACACACTGGTAGGCTCCGTTGTCTTTCCTGCTCACATTAACTATTGTCAGCTGTACGTTGTCTCTTGACAAAAGGATTCTCGAATCTTCACTGGGATTTATACCAGAACCATTTTTTTCCCATGATATCCTCAAAGAGCTCCCAGAAGCGTTGCAAAATAGAGTCAAGTTTTCTCTCTCTTTGACCGGACTGGCTTTTGGGTCCAGCTCTATAGATGGTGTCACTGCAAAATCAAAAGAGGTCATACGTAAACGTAAAATCTTCTTGTCAGCTCTAAAGCAGATTACTATGTTACAAATTTTCTCTTGCAGGTCTCCACTTAGGCCGGTTACTGCGTTTTATGACTTAATTCCCATCCCTCCTCTGACTGAACGAACGTTGGCGTCTAAACATGCACAATTGTTTTTTTTTTTCGCCCAATGATGTTAAGTGAGCTTTTTTTTCTTATTTACATGAGAATAAAATTTTTCGGCCAAACATGTTACTTGCAACACATATGAGAAGTAGAGGGTCTCAATGGATCAATTGTTAACGGCCGATAGCGTTAGCCCTTAGACGTAAAAATTATCAAATTTTAATTGTTAGTCGGAAAAAGATTAGGCTTTGAAAAGTTTCTGGTGATCACTGTGGATAGAAAATGAAGTTTAGCCGTAAATTGACCAAAATTTTAACCTTTAGCCGTAAAAGCCAACACCCTGTTGAGACTCTGGAAGGACTGTAAGGTCTCAGAGGAACATGCACAGAATGGTCTTTCAGCGTGTCAATTCACGAGTCAAATTTTGGCCACAAGCTTTTAAAAGATTTGAGCCTGGTATAAAACAGTTCCTCGACTTCACATCGAACTTCTGCTTTTGGTCACTTTCGGCCAAGAAATATATTGACAAACCAAATTGTTTCAAGTCTAAGTCCATTTACATCGCAACGTACCTTGAATGACAATCGACGTCCAATTAGAGGAGGAACTACCAACATTATTTGTGACATTGCAGGTGTAATTTCCAGCATCTTCCAAGGAAACTGCGATGATCGACAACTGAGTTTGGCTTTCATTATGATGCGAAATAGTGACACGTGACCCATTCGAAGGCGTAATAAGGGTTGATGCAATAACAATCCCATCTTTTACCCACTGCACCTCAGAAACAGTAGGCAAGGCGTTGAATTGGCATGTCAGCAGTAAATCAGTGCCGTTGGCTAAATACCGTTTTTGATCTCCATCGATTGTGACTTCTGGTGCAACTAAAATTCAGTGATACGACATAGAAACCGCTCTTCATTGATAATATCATATTAAAGTTAGTGGAGAACAATTATTGTAAAACGAGAACTTACCCAGGACCCTTTAATCAAAAACCACAAATCGAAGATTTGAGAGGGAGAAGCTGAGATGTCGAGAACAATTTGGACGCAGCTCCCTGCAGTGTCTGACACATGTATTTGATCCATTGAGGAACTTTTAGCATCATTGGCTCTTCGCATTAATTCAACTTGGTCTTTTGCCATTTTCAGTACGAGAAGAACATCAACCGAAGAGAGAGGTTTTGTCAATAATAATGATCTATAGAATTTGTGGTCAACGCTGGAGGAAACTCGAATAAAAAAAGTGATCAATACTAGAACGTTGCAAATATGCAAATATACACTACTTTGGCACTCACATTGTACTGTTAGGGTCGCTGAAGATGAAGTCGCGGTATCCAAACTGTTATTGGCTACACATCTGTACTGCCCTGCATCCGATTGTTGAACATTTGATATGTTCAATTGGTGGTCTCCATCATTGGAAGATACACTAAGTCGCATATCTCCTGTCACATTCAATTCCAGTCCATTTTTTGTCCAAACGACATCAGGTGTAGGGTATCCTGCGACTACGCAACTGAAATCAACCGTTTGTTTTTCCTCTTTTGTGCGATTAGTCGGAGGTTCGGAGATTTCAGGTCCAACTAGTAATGTGAAGATAAAAAATTGAAAAACTGAGTCACTGCAAAACCATACGTATTTCACAAAATACAGCAAAAATTGCCGTTTGGTAATTTTTGCTGAAATACTACAACACTGCAACACTGATTTGAATGAAAGTTACTCCGTTTGATAACTGTAAAAAAACAGCAAACGTTAAAAGGAATTGAATAAACAAAAAACAAAACAAAATTGTTAATATCAATAATCTACATCAGTGTAATAGTAGCGTTGAAGACCCGCCCTGATTGGCTATTAAGCCTCTGAATATCCGCCACTTGCCACCTCCACTTTGGTGAATGCTTGGTTATTTAATAGTATAATAATGTCAACTTAAGAATGCAATCTTTTTGCTATCAACTCAAGCCAAGCCAAGCAAGAAAAAAGAAACTTCAAGACTGCCAATAAGTTAAAACGGCCTGGTACGTTTGCTCTGTACTTACATTCAACCAGTACAAAGGCAGTATTAGATGTATCGTTTCCAACCTTGTTGCTCGCCACACATTTGTATTCCCCCTTGTTTACCCTGCTCACGTTCGTTATAATCAAATGTCGATTGCCATCTGATAAACTGATCCTTGAATCCCCTGAGGTGGTTACATCAATTCCGTTGAATTTCCACGTTATTGTTAGAGAGCTTCCAGAAGAGTTACAAAATAACGTGTCATTTTCTCCCTCCTTGACGGTAACAGTTTCTGGCTGCAATTTGGTGGAGGGCTTCTCTGTGAGAGAACAGAAATACTTTAGTCAGTTATTTGGTATTCCAAGGTATTGTACAGTTTTTCTCTTACGTCTTCTTTCGAGGCTTTCTAAAGTGTAGTAAGTTAAACTTTCCTATGATTGACATTTTTTTTTGTTATTTTTTTAAAATTTGTTTTTTTATTTTTTATTAGTATATGAGGAAGGAATGGTTGTCGTCTAGAAATTGAGATAAGGAATTAAATTATTTTTTGAACGCGTAAATCAAGGCAAATTTTGTTTGACTGATCAAACAAATTTGATGCTCATTTTGACGAGAGAATTTTTTTGTGGCAAAAATAAATTCGTGTAATTGTGTTTACATAGAACTGCTGGGTTGGCTTTTCCTTCCACAGAATAAGATTTTAAACGAACAAAAAAATTTAACCAGGAACACTGAGAGAAATAATGCCGCAGATATGTTGTATAGGAAGTAATGAACATCGTATACATACCTTGAATAACAATCGACGTCGAATCTGTTGTATCAGTTACATTATTTGTAACATTGCAGGTGTAATTTCCAGAATTCTGTGAGGAAGCTGAGGTGATTGAAAGCTGTGATAGACTTTCATTATAAAAGATGTTAGTAACTCTTGATCCATTGTTAGTCACAGTGGCATTTATGGTAATCACATTTCCATCTTTTATCCACTGCACCTCAGACACAGGCGGTGAAGCGTTATACCGACAGATCAACGTGAAGCTCTCGCCTTCAGCTATAAACTGCTCTTGGTTACCATCAATTGCAACTTCGGGCTCATCTGAAATTCAAATAAAACTCTTCTTAGGACAAGGGGGTAAGTTTCTAAAGAAACTGTGGTGCTCCTTCGGTGGGAGAGTATAACAGACTTATTTATTATAATTATGATCAACTGACTTGATAACGTAATTGGTCAACGTAACGAGGTTTGAAGCTGAAGTTTCAAGGGTTGGCCCTTCGTCGGAGCGGAAGACCAAGGGCTAACGCTCGAAACGTAAGCTTCGAAACTCTTCACGGTGGTCATTTACGTTATCAACTCAGTTAATGATGCCAAATTATCTTCCTAGGTCAAACTATCATTTACTAAAGCAATTGTTCTTTCGAGAGAACGAAAGCCTGCAAGGGATAGTAAAATAAAATCAAACATTTAAAACGTCTCTTCGTCATGGTGATCGGCAGCCGGAAGGATTGAAAAGAAGAAAGAGCCGGCGCTTTGAATGCTGATTCGCTGTAAAATGAAAGGCAAATGTCGTGTTTTTGTTGACTCCTGTCGGTATCTTTCAATTTATAATTGACTGATGAACAGCATCTTTTCCTCCCTTAAATACACTTATATGAAAAGCAATAAAAATCTGCTAAGCATATTCGTATTAGAATAGGTGATACGCGTCTTTTCTAATCCACTACTATGTCATTTTGCCAAATAAGGTCATGAGAACGCACAAAATATGCCACGGTCTTACGCTGTAGAGGAGGGCAAAATTACGGAGCAATGAAATGGCCGCACTGAACGACCTAATGTATTGCTTGTATTTTTTCTCACCCCTTCGGGGCTCTGGGAATATTTCGCAACTCGCAAAAATGAATATCAGCACGTATTACATGTTTAACGATCGAGTAACGTGTATTTATTTAAATATTTTATCTCAGAAGCTATGAGCATGAAACTTCTCCCTATAATATCCCCACACTATCTGGCAAACAGGTAATGAGAACATCAAAATTCTCAGACAGAATTTTTTATCTTGACGAAGCAACAAATTGTTGCAATTAATTTACAGGAAATGCGTAGCAGTTAGAGGGGAAATTTTTTTAAAAATGGTGCAAAAGGAGAGCATTTAGGGACTTGAAATTTGTTAATAAATTGCGTCAATAGCAGCGAATAGTGGCAAAAACGGGCTACAATTTTGCTCATTCAACCTTAAATTTTTTAATCGAAACTATAGGAAAATTTTGCAAAAATTGCCGTCTATCGTTAACAAACTGTGAAAGCAGACTGCAAGAAGCTAAATTTTTGCCGTTTGGTTTAGTCATCGCTGCTAGCCTTTCCAATTAGTTGCATTCTCGTTTCTTTTTCCTCATATTTGATCAAAAAACAATGAGTTAAAATCACGCAACAGAGTCATCAACGGACACACGGGTTATTTACATAAATCAATGCCCTTTTGCAGCCTTTCCTTTACGCTTGATTACTTTTGCATTTGAAATTGTCTTTCCGACTTTCAATTTCATCAGGGCCTTTCCGCACTAGCGACAAAATTGTTTATTTAGACATATTTTCTGTCATCACCAACATTTTACAAGTGCGGATGGTTTGTTGCGACTCTTCTAATTCTGGCCGTAGCCGTCAAAACCTGAGACGCACCGCCGACAAAGTTTTTCCTACGTGATAATTTGCCAAAATCGACTAATTATACAAAACCACGATAAACATGTCAATCATTTGTCGTTGAAGCAAAGACAAGCGTGTAATTGAACTAGAAAGGCAGTAATTGTCTTCTGCTGCGACGCTCGGGTATTCTAAAGTTTTACAATGACTTACGGAAATTAAAGGTGAAATCCTTCGGCTACTATGTTGGCCGATCCTATGAACAGATCAGGCGCTGACGGAATGTGACGGTTTTAAAATTTTTAATGCAAATGCAACCGACGGAACAAAAATTCATCATGACAAAATTTGACCTTTGTTTTGTCGGAATAATTCTAGTTTTGTCCGCTAGTACGGAAATGCTCTTCAAATAAACGTCAAATTTGATCCCCTCCAACAGTTTCTAGTTTAATTGGCAGAATTAGCCTTACGCTATACATTGATCAAGGCTTTCAGGGTAATTTTAAATAAACATTCACACATCATGAAGTAAATACAACAAATGAACTGCTGTAACAATAGTGTACCTCACTGTGGTGTCTACGTCATTTTTCTTTAGGACTGAAGATACCTTAAGTGTCCTATTGTCATGCCCAACAATAAAAAAGACTTTCGATTGTTGATAAAGGCCATATCTACACCAGGTAAGCTTGAAAAGGAGGAAACTGGTGTAAACATTATTTTAACGCAAAATTGTTTACCAGATCAAAAGGTTAGACATAAATTATTCAATCCCTCTCTAGGCATGACGTTTACTGAATTAAAATTCCTTGCAGTCATTCAATCGTGAACAACAAGTTCGCTTTACACCAAAAATAAAATATATAACATTTAACCCGTCAAGAATCGTCTATGTTGATGCCATGTTGTGCTTACGATCCGAAGATTCAACATATTTCACAAACAATACAAACCATTGGTTTGTTGTATTCATGGATGCAATTAAGTCAAAAGCTCCAGTTAAGACGACTCCCTGTTGTGGGACGCACTAACTGATCGATTTCGCTTAACTCAGTGTTTAAGAGCAAGTTATGGTCTTTCAAATTATGAACAGCAAATTGATTAAAACAGAACTGCAAACAGAACCTATCTCACAAGTCTTCACATCAAACAGACTCACTTAATTTCGGGTCTTACATAAGCTAATACAGCTCCCGGAAGTTCTTGTTATAAATCAAGGAAAAACTATCTAGGCACGCGGTTCTGAAACGTGAATACCGATCAAAATGATGTACAAATTCAATATTTACGATATTTTGATTGAAAGCGCCTTTAATATGCTGTAAGACCTAAAATGTAGGAATCATGGATATCACTGCAATACGGATGGATCAACATCACTGATTACATCGCAGGATGAATTAAACTACATTGTATTCGCATAGTTTAGACAACTAACCTTGATGTGTAAGTGGCGCAGAAAGAAAAAGTAAAAAAGCTATTCTAACAACCATTTCAGTGTCGCACTGTCCCACTGTTCTTTCGCCGGTCTGCTTTGAAAAGCGTAGTCAGTCAATCGTTTTGGATAAATTTAATTGCAATGAGATGCAAATTTTGTAAATCCACCAATTATAGCCTAATTTACAGACACAAATAACCGAACGGAGACATCCGTCGCGATTTGTCTGTCTGCAAGGTAAAATGTTTCTGTCGAGACTATAACAAAGTGAAAGAAAAAAAAAAAAGAGATGTGTGTGTTTTTCTTAACATGTTCCAGGTCAATCCACAATAATTTAGCTAATTGCCAGCATGTTAAGTTTCCTTAAGATTAGCACTATCCATAAATTTAGAGAAACAAAATACTTCCCATGTCAAGGGGTTGGTTTCTTTTTTTTGGCAAACAAACAAAATTATCTTACTGACCCATTCGCTTTGCGCTCAATTGATCGTAGGTGCAATCAGGTACGATCAAAAGTAAACACTTAAAAGGCCTTTTTTGAGGGGACAGGAAATTCTATGTGAAATCTGGGGGCCTGGAACCAATTAAGTAATCACAACTCTGAATGAATTACTGAAAAGAATAGGAAAAAACTCGACAAAAACTTTCGGAAAAATCTGTGTCAACCATATTTTTTCTGTCCTTTGATAGAGACCAGGTTATTGAATTCCATTTGTCTCTGTCTAGTACTTTTTCTTCCAATAGTTGGTTCCATCCTTCAAACAGATTTTCTTTTCATTTTTTACTGTAAGCAGGGGGGTCCTAGGGCCCACCGAGAGAAGCAAATTATCTGATACAAAAACGGGCTGATAAAAAGAGTGCCTCTTCAATGACGATACATTTAAGAAAAAGGGAAAAAATCGGAACATTGTAAGATTGATGCTTGAAAGCGACCTTTGTAAGAGTCTATTATCCAGGGTGTGTCGTCACCAGAAGATAATTCGATCCACTATTCTGGGTGTTTTGACATTTGCAAACATCACCTGACGAAAGGATTCATTTCCAAATGCATAACTCCATTCAAGAGTACTATCGTCTCCCTCCAGAGCAAAGAATGGATTTGGAGGTTCAGTTGTAAATTTTACACCTGTTATTACAATGGATAAAGCTTAATTCACGTTATTTTCGGTCTGGAGAAGGCTCCAGATGTTAAAAACTAAGTTCTGTATCAGGAGAAGGATGCTTCTCGTCTTGTTACGCGCGTGGGAAAAAAAAAATTCTTAGTTCCCATAAGGATTCGAACCTTAGACCTTCGGATTTCACGCTCTGATGCTCTACCACTGAGCCACAGAGACGGTGAGCGAGGTCTACTACGAAGTTCAACTGACAAGCGTCCTGCATGCATACTGCAGGCTCTGAACAGTTTTTTTATGTCAACAGTAGCGACTACATTGTTTTGAAGAGATTGAGCGAGTTGTCATAATATATAAAATACAGGGTACAAATACAGCTGGTTATCATGTCGTTGTCGTACACGACGCTGTTGACATGACTGATAGTCTCTGTGGCTCAGTGTTAGAGCATCGCAGCAGAGAAACCGAATTCCTCACGAATGTTCAGAACTTTTTCTTTGTCCCATGCTCGTGACGAGACGAAAAATCATATTTTGCCATTATGAAAAAGCCATCGTTATCAGAATAATTATAACTGAATGAAACGTAATCACACGGCCATTTCAAACGCGGGAGTCCGAAATCCATGCACGTAACGCGCGTGAGACAACTCCCATATCTTACTTTCAAGATATCGATTTTACTTTCTTAACTTGATGAAATGCTACTAACAATGGTTGTTGCTTAGATTCGTTTAACACTTTGAAGAAAAACTAACCCAAATCTCTTAAACCAACTCGACGCCAATTTTGAATACTAACGTCTTTGTTTGATAATGATGTTATCTGCCGCTTTTCCGGTTGTGATCGAATTCAGGGATATGATTTTAGTTCTGAGGGAAATTCATTTCTAAAGCAAGGAAATAAATAAATTTGGCTTAATGTTTTCAAAAATCAAACACAAAAGTATTGAGACAGATAAAAATCAATTTTTTTTTTTTGAGTTAGTATTTATCGCTCTGAAAAAGCTACGATAAATTCTTCGTTTTACATCAACTTTTTCATCATTCATATTTGTATCTGTTGATCGTTTACGCCAAAAATTAAACCGAACCAATCAAAGACTAGTTTTTTCTGATTCTGCATTAATACATAACTACGCATTTCATAACTGTTTAATCGTGTACAACAAGTATGAATCAACCTTGTGTGTTATTAATTATTTCAAATGATCATTTCAAAGCTTACCTTTGGTGGATAAAACACAGAGAGCACTCGTAATGATTAGTAGAGCCGCTCTCTTGATAATTAAAAAATCTGCGCTCGGCATCCCTCGTGTGAACTGTTTCAACGATAATATTTTTAAACGACGCTTTGTTGAAGATGGAGGCTAAATATTCGCTTGAGTCACGGAGTGTGTTTTATGCCACGAGACGACGCTGTTCAGACGTAAGGTGAGAATTACGTCTAATCTGGGTAATCATTTACTTGGCGGTCACGCACATAACTCAATTGAGGCGATTCTTGAAATTTCATTCAATATCAAATAGCAAGCAAATTACTGGCGCTATCCCCATTAGAGCGCACATTCTTATTATGCTCAATGAAAATTTAACAAGTAATGCCAGAGGTAATATTTTCAACACCAAAAATAGCGAAAGCGCACGTTTGAAATATCTTTTCCCCAAGCTACAGTACCCTGTACATATTTTTGAATACCATTTCAGTTTCTGACCTCAGAGACAAATACTGCTGTTTTGACAGTACCAGAGTCGTATTGCTGTTCAAAGATCACAAAGCAGCCGACACTGTAAGAGCGCAACTAGGGGATTCGAGCAACAAAATTGGAAAAACTATACAGCCGGTGTTCACAAGTACAAAAAATAAAGACGATGTTGAGACGCGCGCGGAAAGGCCTCCGCTAATCGACCAGGAAAGCATTGGGTCTTTATTCAAACGTGGCTTGTGCGATGCAAGCTATGTCGGCTATACTCGCCGGTACCTATTTCAACGTGTTTCTGAACATCAGAGCTCGGCCGGAATTGGAAACCACGTCAAGAAAGACCACAATTTGGAACCAATGAACCTCAAAGGAGAAATGCAGGAGTCAACGTGATTGCGTGATATATGAAATGTTGTATATCGGAGATCTTAGGCCGATAAACAATACTCAATCAATCACTTTGATTGACATGGTTTCCCGGAAAGTCACATTTCTGGTAACTTGACATATTTCGCCACCTTATGCACAAGAATGTACTAACGCAAAAACAAACCTACACATTTGCTTGACAATGACATCCGACGACGTCGATAAATATAACAACTAATTTCGTAAATTTAATTTACCTTTCTAATTTTACCATGTAAAAGAATAGGCGCTCACTACTTCACAGGCAGCAGAGCAGGCGCGATTTTGGCGAACGATGGCTTAGTGTTTCCTTCAAAAAAATTACAGCCGCCGTCGTTGATTTCAATGGCAGTGGATAGTTGTAGAGAGAGTGAGATTGGTAATTAGGGGGGTGGGTGACGGTCAGAAAGGATGAGAGGGGAGGGGCCATAAATAACACGACTTCTTGACTGTACGTACATTGGGTCACGCTAAAATTTTCCGTCTATTTCAAGTTTTCCTTCTACATCACTGGAACCCCTTAATATTCTGGACTGCTCTTTTTACATTGGGAAAAAAAAACTAAATTTATGGTTGAAGCTGGGCATTTCTGCGCAGAAAAAAAGCAAAAACAAAATAAAACAAATGCAAAAGCAAACAAAAAGATAAGCAAAATTACAATACCATAAATTATTATAGACTATCTGCTTAGCTTTGACTGGCCCTTAGGGCTGTACGCAGCTAAGCCCGCGTTTTAAACCTGACATCGCACTCAAATTCATTCGTTAAGCGCAAAGCTGGATATTAACTTTTTGTCAGTGCTACTGTCCCCACCACAAAAGTTGACGATTGATTAAAAGGGTTTACGAGCGGTGAATATCTCCTAAACAGCTGGTCTACATAGTGGAAATCAGTGAGGATAATTAGAACTTCAGCAATGCAGTTTGTCAAGGAAAACTTTTTAGCCGAGCCTGTGTGGTTTCCACTGAAAGTGCTTCTCTTACAGTGCTTTTTCCTTGGACGTCATATTACATTATCAGTTGGC